CCAGGCCTTTAGTGTGAAGCTTTTTTGTTACTTTGACTGGGATCTAGGCTACATTTAATATTTGATGTTGCTGTCAGTGCCAGAGACTTCAGTTTCCTCTAGATTCCTGATTTTATTTTATTTCTCCACTGTTGTTTTTGGGTGTCCCCAAGCACTCCATCTTAAAGAGAGCCTGTGTCTCACAGCTCTCTGGGCTGTAATCTACTTTGACTATACTGCAGTCTGTTGATGTGGTGGTAAGTGCAGTAGATAAAAGAATGTCTCTCCAACATGCATGTTCACCTGGAACCTCAGAATGTGACCTTACTTGGAAATAGGGTCTTTGCCCATGTAATTAGGTGCATTAACATGAGGTCGTACTGGATTAGGGTGGACCCTAACACCAATAACTGATGGCCTCTTAAGAAGGGGAGAGGGCCCATAGGGATACAAACATAAACAAAACCAGTTAGGGTATTATTGAACTGAACAGCACTATCGATCAACTGGATCTAACTGGCATTTGTGGAATACCTCACCTAACAACCACAGAAATACACATCCATCTCAAATTCACAAAGATAGACCACATTCTGGGCCATAGAACAGATCTAAAGAAGCTGAAATGGATAGAAATCATATAAATTATGCTGTCAGGCCACAGTGGAATTAAACTAGAAACCAATAACAGAAAGATAGCTGTAAAACCAAACTACTTAGAAATTAAACAATGTATTTCTAAGTGACATATGGGTAAAAGATGTATGAAAAGACAAAATTGTTTGGAAATATTTTAAATGAAATTGAAAATAAAACTTACCAAAGTTTGTGGGATGCAGCAAAAGCAGCACTTGGAGGGAAATTTACAGCATTTAATGCACATATTATAAAAGAAAAAAGACCTAAAGTGAGTGATCTAAGCTTCCACCTGAAGAAACTAGAAAAAGAAGAGCATATAAATTCAAACCAAGCAGAAAAGAGAAAAAACAAAAATTGGAGCAGAAATCAATGAAATTAATAGAAAACTATCAACAAAGCCAAAAGCTTGCTGTTTGAAAAAAAATCAATAAAATTGATAAACCTCTAGCCAGCCTAACCAAATAGAGAAGATGCAAATCACTAATATCAGAAAAGAAAGAGAGGCAATCACTACTGATTGCATGGACATGAGATGGATAATACAGGAATATTATGAGCAATTCTGTGCTCACAGATTTGATCATTTAGATGAAATGGACCAATTCTTTAAGAGGCACACTCTTCCAAAAGTATTTTTCCTCATACAAGGAGAAATAGAAATTCTGAATAAGTCTATTCAAAGAAATTGAATCAATAATTAATAACCTTTCAAAAAATGAAAACATCGCAGTCAAGTGCTCTCACTGGTGAATTCTACCAAACATTGAAGGAAAAATGATAACAATTTCCAGAGTAAAATGCTGCAAGAATTAATGATGAATGTGAATGACATTTATTTTATGTACCAAACTAATTATTAAGAGCTTCCCAATAGATAAATCAGGAAGGAGACTGATGGGTAGAAGAGAATGTATTAGTTAGCTAACTTTAAGAAAAACAAGATATCCTTTATAGTACAATACATCATGTCAAGATTTAAATGAAAATATTAAACAGAATAATAGTGATCAGATTTTGTCACAATTCTAATCATTGTAAAATTGTTTGATCTATTTGCATTTGTAACATGAAATAGCCCTTAAGATGGCTATCTAATTTTTAGTTACACAATTCAAGTATACATTTAGACTATGAGTTATTCAAGTAATAGCCCAGGTTGTGGATATCTCAAAATTTTACAAGAAAGAAAATTTTTTAAATTATGTAAAACAAAATCCATGAAATACTTGATAAGGATTAATATCCAGAATATATAGAAAACTCCTAAAACTCAAAAAACAAACAAGCAGAAATAAACAACCTAATAGGCAAACAGACATTTCTTGAAAGAAGATATACAAATAGTCAAGAAGCACATGAAAAGATGCTCAATATCATTAGGAAAATGCAACCAAAACCACACTGAGGTACCACTTCATACCCTTTAGGATGGCTATTATATATATTTTTTTCAAAAAGAAAATAACAAGTATAAGTGAGGATATGGAAAAATTGGAACCCTTTTGTACTGCTGGTGGGAATGTAAAATGGAGCAGCTGCTATTGGAAACACTATGGCAGTTACACAAAAAATTAGAGATAAAATTACCATGATCCAGCAATTCCACTTCTGGAACTGAAAAGAACTGAAAGCAGAGACACAACAGATATTCGTACACCCATGTTTATAGCAGCATTATTCACAATAGCCAAAAGACGGAAGCAATAAGATAAAGTGTCCATCTTCAGATAAATGGAGAAGGTACATACACACACACACATGTATAATGAAATATAAGGCCTTTAAAAGGGAGGAAACTGACACATGCTACAGTGTGGATGAATCTTGAAAACACTCTGCTAAGGGAAATAAAACAGTCACGAAAAGATACATACTGTATGATTACAATTATGAGGTAGATAGAGTAGTCAGTTCATCGACAGAAAGCCAAATTGTGGTTGTCAGGAGCTGGAGGAGGGAGGAATGGAGAGTTAATATTTAATGAGCACAAAGTTTCAGTTTTACAATATGAAAAAAGTTCTGAAGATGTATGGTGGTGATGGTTGCACACAGTGAGAATGTATTTGATGCCATCAAACTATACACTTAAAAATGGTTAAAATGTTAAATTTTGTTTTGTATATTTTTCCACAATTTCTAACATAACTAATAATAAAAATCCATGATACAGTAACATTATAATTAACTGACCAAATTGGGAAGCTTTGGGTTGTGAAAGTAGATGGTTTTAATAACTACACGCAGACACCAGGGGTAAATGTGACTGTCCTAAGTAGCCCCGGTGGTCCCAGATCTCCTGCTCTTAGCTCAGTTGAAAAGAAGGGTCTTTTTAGTCTGGCAACTATCCGGTAGAGAAACTGTGGGAGAAATCTCACATTCAACAGTGCTAAGAAATAATGATTGCTGTTTCATAGCCTCAAACTTTTAAATTTTGGCCACTAAGCCTTTACAATAAATTTGCCACCATAATTTTCAGATACATTTCAGATTTATGGTTTTATCTCAGAAGTCCATTCTATTCCAAGACCTTCACCTTTGGTTCCCAGGCACAGCCATCAGTACGTGAATATGGGGCCCACCTTTACCTTCTTGCCTTTCTCCCCTTCCTCCCCCCGCTTCTTCCATCTCAATCCCATCCATCCTTTAAGGTACATCCCCCACAAATGTCCCCTCATCTGTCCAGCCTTTCTTGATCCACGAGGTGGAATTGCCCCACTCCCAAACTTCAGTGAAATGTTCCTTGGCATGAGGATAACATGAGATAAGAATCTAGATTACTGAGTGAATGTTGCTGACATCTGCTTAGCTGCTAACCCTGAAAAATAACCCTACTTAAAATCATTGACCAGCCAAAAGGAAAACTACCTCGGACCTCCCCCACGTAAAACTCCTCGGGCAGTACCTTGGATTTTCTAGGAGTTTGTAGGGGACTTAAAGCTGCAGTATAGAAAGAACTTGATTTAATTCTTGGCCATGGTGGGAACCAACATTCCTCTGCATATTTTTCATATACAGGAAGTGGTAATTCTCACCCTCCCAGGGCTCAGGCTCTGACTCACTGGGGTATGCCACCCCCAGGGCCTGGCCTCCGTGTCACTAAGGCCCTGAGCAATACAGTCAGATGCCTGGATGAAAAATTCCCCTGTGGTGGGGAGCGGGGAGAGCTGGTCGTGAGAAGGGCTGCTCTCCCCATTCATGTGGTTTTGTCAGGATGCCTGGATGCTGCAGGCCTCGGCCAGGTTACCTTGATCACACATAATCATTGTAGATTTTTAAAAAGAGTGCTAAAGGTCGCCCGTCTCATTAAGTATTTCACACCCCTACCCAAGTTAATAATATCACCTCTGTTTTTCCCATAGTACATTGTGAGTGTGGCTATATGCTGTAAAAAGTTGGCTTCTTTGAGGTTTTTTGCATACATTCAGCTAAATCATGCATAATATATACCAGGATTGCCCTCCTATAGCCATGAATCCCTGGGGTCACCAACATAATGTAAAGATAACGAAGACTAATCTTATTTACAGGAAAGTGGATGCTTTAAGTAGCCTCATGAAGCCAAAGGGCAACATTACACACATAATGCAACATCTCAAACTTGTGTCAAAAAAGTGTATACCTTGACCACTTCACACTCACTAGGATGGCTATACTCAAAAACACAGAAAATACCAAGTATTGGCGAGGATGTGGAGAAATTGAAACCCCCATATGTTGCTGATGAGAATGTAAAATGGTGCAGCTGTCATGGAAAACATTTTGGTGGTTCCTCAAAGCCAAACACAGTGACCATATGGCCCAGCAATTCCATTCTGGGATATATACCCAAAAGAATGGAAAACAAATAAAGTCAAATAAAGACTTGGATGAGAACTTTCATAGCAGCACCCTTCACAAGCGGCAACATGTAGAAGGAACCCAGCTGTTCATCCCTTGATAAATGGATAAACGGGCTGTCATATATTCCAACAATGGCATATTTAGTCATAAGAATGAAATAAGGATACATCTGCAACAGAGAAGAACCGTGGAAACATGCTAAGTGAAAGAAGCCAGACACAGAAGGCACATATTGTATGATTCCATTCCTATGAAATGTCCAAATAGGCAAATCCATAGAGACAGAAAGCAGATTAGTGATTGCCCCAGGCTAAGAGGGAGGGGAAATGGGGAGCTACTGCCTAATGGGTATACTTCCTTTTGAGGTGCTAAAAATGTGGTTTTACAACATTGTTAATATACTGAAAGCCACGAAGTGTACACTTTAAAATGGCTAGAGTGTTGAATTTTATGTTATGTTAATCTTACCTCAATTTTTTTTTTGAAGTGTGTACTTTGACTAAGGCAAGTGTTTGTCACAGAAACTCCCTCTCTCCTTGCAGCATTTCATGATCCTCCCATGTCGAAGCCCCTTTTCCAAAATCCATCTCCAAAGCCATGCACATCCCAAGAGATGCCTGAGGGGTGAAGGCCCCACAGGAGAGGTCAGCCTGCAGCATGACCTTTGCCCCTGAGTTGGACCTTTGTCCTACTGCTTTCTCATCACTCACAGAATCTGGAGGTCATGCTAGCCCCAGAAGGATGCAGGGCTTTCCAAAGCCCTGGCATTGAGGGGTATCATAGAGTCCTCCCAAAATCTCAGCATCAATTGATTAAACAAAGGTCAACAGTGAATGGACTCCACGTGAAGATGGAACATTCTAAAACGGGAAGAAGTTAAAGTGAGCACCAGAGGTCTGTTTACATCAGTAACAGAGTTGCAGGTAATATGAAAAAGAAGGAAATACATTATACTCTCTTTTATATAAGAAAGAAGAAAAATGAGAATACATGTGTTATTTTCATGAAATAAACTTATGAAACATTAACCATGGAGGTAGGAGGGAACAGTGTAGAAGGAACAAAGGTGGCAAGGCTTCTCTGATATACCTTTTTATATCATTGTAATGTTGAATCACATAAATGTTTTATGTATTCAAAAATGAAATATAACTTTGAAAGGATGGGATAAAGCAAACCCTTCTATAGAATGCAAACCGGGGCAAGACAAACTGACTATATATCAGACAACATAACCTCACAGAGCAAGGAATTAATTCAGGTACCCTGATTGTACATCCCTAACAAATCTGATCTAAGAACAAAAAAAACTTACACTGTCCTATACTGTCCTTAGTAGGGGCAGTGTTAGTAATAATATTGGTCTTGTAATTCTGAAACTCTTTTATGAATAATATAGTAGTAAGCAAATACATACTTTACTGTTAAGAGTAAAAAGATTCTAGTAATAAGATAAAGAAGTTCAAGAAAAACCCTATAATGTTAAATTTGAGGTGGAAATAACCGTTTGAACTAATTTTTTTTTTAATGTATTTCCTGGTTCTGTTCTTGGTCAGGCATAGAGGCAAGGACACCCCTGCAGCAATAAGCACCTCTAGCTCTAAGTTCTTGTTTTCTACATATCACTCACTTGAGGGAACCAGGACTCCTGAAAGCATGGTCAATCTGTGGTCTGGGCCTGAAAATGTACAACTTGAGCCTGGAATGTCTTGTGCCAGAAAGCAGAAAGTATGCAAAGATACACGTGATGGTGTAGACAGGATTCAGGAGCTGGCCAAGGGTGCTCCTACTGCACAGTGAGGGACAATGTGAACAGCAAAAAAAATGTGACAAATGAGAAAGGAATAAAAGGATGAAAACCCACCCCTTTGCAACCCCCATGGTAGTGCTTCATTCAGGCAAGCCTCATCAATGATTGCTCAAACTGTTGGGAGAACTGGATATTCAGTTGATCCTGTGCCCATGTGACCATTCCACACATCACCTACTAATTACAAAGGAGAAAATGGAGAGAGGCTTGGTGATCAAACTCAACATCACCAAAAGTACACAACCTGACATTGTTTGTCCCCTGAAATGACAGTTAAGAAGCACACAATGTCCCCTAGATTGTACTCTTGCCAAAAACATTAAACCTGAATCTAATCAACAGAATAAACAACCAGATTAATCCAGCATGTGGGACTCCTACAGGACACCTGGCCTGGACTCTTCAAAAATGCCAATGTCATAAAAACAAATAGCAATAACAAAAACAAAGAGGGGAGAGACTTTTAAATTAAGAATGACTCAAGAGACATAACCAAATATCATCCATGAATTCTGATTGGATCCTGGATAGGATAAAAAAAAATCCAGCTATAAAAGACATTTGGGGACAATTGTAGAGATTTGAGTACAGATGGTTACGAAAACAACTTTGTGGTTTTGTGGGAGAATATCCTTATTAGGAGATGATGAGATATTTAGAAGCAAAGCATCAAGATGTCAGCAACTTGCTTTCAAACCTTGAGCAAAATAAAGTATGTAAAATACACAGAAGAGAGAGGAGGAGAAAGCAAATCGGGCAACATGTGAGCAGTTGGAGAATCCAAGGGAAGGTAAGGAGGTGTCCATTTTCCATAGGTTTGACAATTTCAAAATAAAATGTTGGGGTGGGGGGCCCCTGGCAGGGTGGACAGAGAAGGTTGTGATAGAACTTGCTGCCTGGCCCAAGGCAGTCTGCCACCTACACGGAGTTTAGAACAGCTCCCTAAATTACACCAGACTAACCCTTCTTTTAAATCTTCCTAAAAGAAGGAAGGGTCTACATTTCATGTTCCTTGAACCTCCTTGCCCCTGTTCAGCAGCTGGAAAACCCATGCCACTTGCAGGCACTCTGAACCCAGCACCTGTTGGCAAAGTTTAAAGAGTGGAAAACACACCCAGCGAACAGCACACTGGTGGAGAAGCAGTCTCCCATCACCCCCGAGGCCTGAGAGGGACCTGTGCCCTGTGTATGTGCTGAAGGGGCTGGGGGGGTTCACCTACCATGCCAGAGCTTCTCCTTTCTTCTCATCTAGGACAGCTGCAACCGTTTGTAAGAGGACTTCGGGCTCTGCTGGGAGGCTCTCTGTTCCTTTCCAGCACCATCCTGACTCAGAATTGCATTTGCTCATTCATTCCTTCATTTATTCAATTATTTAAAAGTGATTCTTGAGTCCCAGGCACTGTTCTGGGCTCTAGGGACATCTCGATGAACAAGCAGCCATGGTTTCTGCCCTCCCAGAGCTCACAGGCAAACCACCACCATGACAAGTGTCACAAAGGGGAGGAACAGGGTGCCACAGAGTTGGTAATGGGGGCACTGCTGTGGTGACATTGAGTGACAAGCAGGAAATATAATCCACAGACTCTATAGAAGGAGTGTATTTGGGGGACAATGAGAAATCGGGTGTCAAGGGACACTCCCAGGGTTCTGGCTTGTGTAACTGGATAGACAGTGGTGGCCTTCACTGGGACAACCTGGAAGAGACTCTCAGTGTGGGTGGGGGTGCAGGTAGCAGCCATCCACACAGGCCACCGTGTGACATTCAGTCACGGAGGGGAAGTCCACACTGCTGTGGGGCTGTGAGTCATCACAGAGGCCCTGTGTAGCCAGAGCCTGCCTGGCCCTTCCCAGAACATCTGCCACTCCCGAGGGACACACAGGAACAGGACATACAGTAATCTGGCACGCCCTCCTTTGGTTTGCCTTTGTTCTTAGCAGCAGATTTGGGGAGGCATCTCATATTCCAGGTGAGAGGGTCCCTCTGGCCTTTCCTTTCTCCTCTGAGAGCAAGGGTGGGAGACGTGGAAGAGGGGAACAGGGCCCAACTCACACGCAAACTCTCTCTCTCTCTCTCTCTCTCTCTCTCTCACACACACACACACACACAAACACACACACACTCATATGCATGATTCTGTCAGCTTTGTAAAGGTTAGAGGTCATTTTATTTGCCCAAAGTTGGTTAAGGGAAAACCCAGTACACACTGAAGAATGGAAGCTTCTCTTCCCCACCTCCCATAACCCACGGTTCCCTAAAAACAAGAAATGCCTGGTGTAAGCGCATTCTATGTGGAATGAGAGGAGGTGCTAAGGCTCACCTCCAGGTGGACATGAAGCAAAACAGTACATGAGGAAGAAGAATCCTAGGGGTGCAAACCTTCGGGAATGCCCAGAAAATGTGGGTTGGGATGTATATTTGTTTCCTGGGGCTTCTACAACAAATTACCGCAAACTTGGTGACTCAAAACAACAGAAACTTATTCTCTCACGTCTCTGAATGCCAGAAATCCCAAATCAAGGTGTCAGCAGAGTCGCACTCCCTTCCAGAAGCTCTAAGGGAGGTTACGTTCCTTGGGTCTTCCAACTTCTGGAGGCCCCAGGTGTACTCTGGCTTGTGGCTCCAGCCTCTGCCTCCGTCTTCACGCGGCCTTCTCCTCTTCTGCCTGTCACACTCCTCTGTGTGTATCTTATCAGGACAATTGTCTCCGTATTTAGGGTCCATCTAGATAGTAATCCCACAGATTTCTTCATCTCAAGATCTCCAGCTACGTCTGCAAAGACCCTTTTTCCAAATATGGCCACATTCACAGTTCCCAAGATTTATAACGTGGACATATCTTCGGGAGGGTCACATTCAACCCGCCCGAGGATGAGACTTCCACAGAACATAGGGGCAGGAGACAGTTAAACTTCCTTTCTTTCTGGCCTGGCACTAGAGTCTCGTCGTCAAGGTCATGCTAGAACTACCCTGAGACTCATCACTCCCTCAGGCTCTTGCCACTTCTTGAGAAGAAAACAGAAGGCATTCTGGGAAGTGCTGGTGGGCCCCAAATTCCTTCCCAGCTATGCAAATGATGCTCCCTCTGCCGGGCCCATTCCCAAGCCCCCTGCTTTGAGGTCCCTTTGCTGGTCACCCCAGGCCCCAGCTCTCTTGTCCCACATGGGACCCTATGATCTTGGGCATGGATCTTGTTTGAACCCCTGGACAAGCATTCTGGCTGCCACTGTAGGTCAGACCCAGGCTTAAGAAGAAATTAATTTGGTGATTAATCCTGTTAATGGCTTTGGCATGCTAGCATTGTACTGATTCTGTGAAGTCCCAGGTTTTGGGGGTAGGGGGTGGGGGTGAGTGGGAGGTTCAAAAGTCAGTCCAAGAAGCTAAAATTCCTCTAGCCAAAACAGCCTTCAAAGATCACCATTACACCATCAAAAGCCAGACCATAAAGCTCAAAAGCAAAAATCAATGCATCCCCTTGCACTGTAGGTAGGATGTCCCTGCCCTAAGACATTCCAGTTTGAAAATGGGGATGAAGAGAGAGAAGGGGGAAACATGTTAACAAGGTTTTTCTCTTTTACTTCTTCATCTCCAGATTTTATAGTTAGCTTTCCAAAGTTATGGGTATGTTGTGTGGCAACTTGCTGTGTTACTCTTCTCCTGCATGAGCCACCCTGACTGCAAGCTCCCTGAGAGCAGAAAGAAGCCCCCTCACCTCCCCTTGAAAGGGCCAGAGAGCAGCCTGTGCAGGGCTGGCAGAGCAGGTCTGGATCAAGTCACCAAGGTGGGAGGAGAGGCGTGGTGATGTCATTCCTGTGGGTCTCACTACTCCAGGCACTTCTAAGGTATTGTCCCGAGCAGAGGTTGTTCCTGCCAAGAGGAAATTTGTGGGTGAGCTGTTAAGAGAGGGCTTTCTCATCTCATTGCCCAGGTTGAGTGCCTTCCATCTGGGTCAAATATCCATCCAGAGCCATGATAGGGACAGACAAGGCCCACGTTGTCCAATTCTGTAGTCTGAGGTGGTAGCTTGTGCAAACAGTTACTGTGTCCAGTGCCTAACATAGAACTTTGCACATAATAGATGTTCATTAAATTGTTGAATGTCTCAGGAAATTCTCAGACATGCCAATATCAGATGGGCACCTGAGGCACCCTATATTAGTCAGGGTTTTCCAGACAAACAGAACCAATACAATGTGTATATATATATATAAAGAGAGATTTATGTTAAGGAATTCACATGATTTTGGAGGCTAGCAAGTCCAAAGTCTGCAGGATAAGCTGGAGACCCAGGTAAGAGTTGATTCTGCAGTTTGTGTCCTATGACAGTTCACTGACAAATTCCCCCTCTCTTGAGGGAGGTCATTTTTTAATTAAGGCCTTCAACTGACTGGGTGAGGCCCACCTGCATTATGGAGGATAAATGTTAAGACCATCTAAAAATTCCTTCACAGAAACCAAACATCTTGGTATCATGGCCCAGCCAAGTAAACCCACAAAATTAACCACCACATGTCCCCACCCCTGCCTTGCTGAGGCCCTCTGGAGCTCTCTGAGGGGTCGGGTTCTCCCTGTCAATCTCTTTGCCCACTCTCTTCCAGGCTAGGCTGACTCTGAGGCTCTCCCCTGCCCTGTTCTACTCGAAGAGGCCCTGGGGGACTTGAACTCCTCTCTCCTGGACCTTTCTCTTTCCAGCCAGGCAGATCTCAACACTTGGGCGGCTCCCAAAATTATATTTTCTCCAAAAGCCCCCCTGGAAGGAATCAAGGGTCTTTGGCTGTGCCCACAGGGCTGTGTCTCCTCCTCTCCCCTGCATCCCCCACTGTCTCCTCCTCTCCAACCCCCACCCCCCACATCACTGCCAGCCTGGGCCAGCAGCAAACAAGATTAGAATTAGACTAGGAGTCCATATTCTTGCTTTAGTTTCTTCTAGAGCTTAGCACCATTTAAAATCATAGTATTGTTCTATCTTTTTACTGTTCATCTTTCTCCTGCCAAAATATTGACTCCAGGAGGGCAGGGACTTCATCCTCAGAGTCTAGCCCAGTATCTGGCACAGAGGGGCTCAGAGCATTTGTTGATTGGGTAGAAACATTTACTGAACTTCTCCTTTGTTCAATACATGCTGTGCCAAGGGGTGGTACAAACTCAGGTAGTCAGCAGTTTACAATTCCCGAGCATCTCGGCACACATGTCAAATACCCTTCATTTCTCTCTTCTTGGGAGCTAGACCATCGCTTCCTTGAGTCCAGGAGTCCACTTCCCTCCTGTCTCCTGGAGTCTGCCCACAGTTGGGTGTGCCGGGGCAGGGACTGAGTTCCTTTCCGTCCCTGGAGCAATATGAGCTGAGTCAGTGAAGAGATGCCTGGCGTCTAGTTGGAGAGAAGGGACCAGGACGCACAGGAGGCCACAGGTGGCTTCCACTGCGGGAGCATCCACAGTCACACCAGTTCCGGGCTTTGCAGACGACTAAGGGGCACGGGATGTGCTTTGGAGGCAGCGCTCCGACTTTGCACCCAGCATTTCCTGCACCCCTGGCCTTGGAGACTCCTCAGGGTCACCAAGATCCGAGAAGGCCTCAGGATCTTTCCCTTTCCCCCGACACTGCGATCCCTGGCGGCGGGGCCCCGCGTCCCGGCAGCGCCACCTGGTGGTCGGCGTCCCTCCGCCAGCGCCGGGAAACGCCGCCCTTGTCTGGCCCGGGTGGGAGGGACAGATTTATCTTGGAGGAGAGAGATATTTTCTACTTTAGTTGACTTGCTGCGTGGGAATCTAGGAATCCTCTGTGCACACCTCTAAATCTGATCCTTCTTACGCTAACATACTCCGGTTGGTTCCCCTTTTTATTTCAAAAATATTGTACATTCATTTTTTAAAAACGTAGACAAACCAAAAGAAAAATCCCACATGTCAGGTTGCCAAAAAAAACACAGGACATCCCATTCAATTCAGATTTCATGTAAACAACAAATAATTACATGGGACCTTGTTCTAAACAATTATCCACAGTTCATGTGAAACTCAAGTTTAACTGGATGTCTAGTATATTTATTTATTTGCAAAATCTGGCAACTCTGTGCCCATAACCTAGCTACACTCTAGTTAACACATTGTGCTGTATTTATACAGCATTTTTTATCCCTCTATGTATATTTTCTACCCAAAAAATGAGGGAGAGGCTCATAAGATAGACCGTTTTGCAACCTAATTTCTCCATTTAATAACATCTCATAAACATCTTTTCATGGCATCAGTGTTCTTTTATAGACTAGTTTTCCATGGTGACATAATGTAAGAATCTTAGACATCTGGAGATGATAGTTTCCTGATCCCCTGATCTTTTTTCCCCACACCCACACTGCCCTGATCCTTCCCTGGTTTCTGGAAAGTACTCCCCCACCCACCACCAAGTGAGCCCGTGCTTGCTGGCCATCTGTAGCACTGGGAGCAGGTACCCATCTGAATTCTGCAACACAAGTAACACGTGAGCCTTCCCTCAGAGAAGCACTATGGGTGTGGCTCAGGAATTAAGACTGTAGGGTCAAACCCCTCTCCTGCTACACCTCAATCAATAGCCCCATGGCCTGGGACGTGGTTGCACAAGCCTTCTTGATTGTATAGTGGGGCTGGTGGTAAGGGTAGAGCGAGTCTTTCTCTTGCCCACTAGATGGCAACCTCCACATGGGCAAGAAACTTCCATGTCTATCCCGTCACCCCTACATCCTTAGAGAATATGCTCAATGCTTGTATATTGTAGGCACTCAAAAAACACGTGCTGAACAAACGACGGATGCTTTCCATGGAAGGAAAGAGTGTGACTGTCCACTCTGGGGGACTGAGTGCAGTGCTGTTAGGATCTGTTAAAAGATAAACTCAGGCATGTTGAAAATGTTAAGACTATTTGAGCAAAAATCGACCCAAATTGGGCAGCACCAAACTGGGAAGTGGCTAGGAGCCCTCAGGGGATAGAGCAGAGGAAAGACATTGCAGAGAAAGTGCTGAAGCTGAGAAAGGAAATCCTTTGACCCTAGCTTAAAGCCCCGTTGGCTCTTCACTATTGGTTGTTTTAGCGTTTTGGTTTCGTAACCCCGAGGCATTTACAGGTTTAGATTTCGGTTTTTTACATAGGCCACAACGGTTTTAGAGCCACATCAGTCTAATGGCTTCCTTGTTGAATTAATTTAACAGATGTGACCTGTGTTCTAACCAGTGGATCAGCCTACCTGCCCTGTGCCCACAGTAATGCTCCCCACACTTCCTGCTCAGGTAATTTTAATTCAGCCATTAGCGTCATGAGAAAAAGTCTCCCCAGTGTCTGGGAGCCCAGGTGGAATGCGGGACAGGAAGGTCTTCAGGTCAGACAGAAGAGACTTGAATCCTTGCTCAGCCACTTTCTGCCTTTATCGCCTTGCATTCGTTTCTTTTAGCTGCAAATGCCCACTCCCTGAGCAGTGTAAAACAACACCGATCTGACAATTCTGTGGGCTGCAGCCTGAAAGCCCTCCCTGGGCTAAAATCAAAGTGTTGGCAGAACAGTCTTCCTTGAAGGCTCAAGGTGAAAATCCATTTCTGCTATAGCCGGAATGTTTGTGTCCCCCAAAATCCACATGTTGAAATCTAACTCCCCAGTGCAAGGGTATTAGGAGGTGGGGCCTTTAGGAGGTGATTAGGTCATGAAGGTGCAGCTCTGAAGAATGGGATCAGTGATCTTATAAAAGAGACCCCAGGGAGATTCCCCACGCCATCCATCACATGGAGACACAGCAAGATGGCCATCTGTGGACCAGGAAGTGAGCCCTCACCAGACACCGACTCTGCCAGGGCCTTGATCTTGGGCTCCCTAGCCTCCAGTACCATGAGGAATTCCTGTTTTCTATAAACTCCCCAGTCTGTGGTGTACTGTGCAGCAGTGCAAGCTGACAGAGACAGACTCCTTGCCTCTTCCAGCTTCTAGAGGCTGCCCACATTCCTTGGCTCATGGCCCCTTTCTTCCATCCTTAAAGCCAGCACTGACATTCTTCACATCTCCCTCTGACTCACCCGTTGTGTCTTCCTTTTAAGGACTTTTGTAACTATTTTGGCCCTACCTGGATAATCCAGGAGAATCTCCCTACTTGAAGGTCAGGGATTAGCAACCATAATTCTATCCAAAACCTTAATTCACCTTTACCAGGTAACCTAACAAAGCCTCAGGTTCCAGGGATCAGAATGTGGGCAGCTTTGGGGGGCCAGGACACTGAGTAATTCTATAACCTCTAAGAGTCCATTTCTTGTACCCACAATGGTTACCATAGGGATTAGCAAGGTGATTACATTGGTCATTTATGGCTGTGTGGCAAATTACCCCAAAACTTAGTGGCAGAAAACAGTATTATTTTGACAGTATTTCTGTCAAACCACTATTTCTGACCCTTCTGAGGGTTAGAAATTAGGAGCAGCTTAGCTCAGTAGTCTAGTGTGAGCTCTTTCATAAGGTGGCAGTCAGGATACCAGCCTAGGCTCCTACCACCTGAAAGACTGGCTAGGGCTGAAAGCTTCCAAGACGGCTCCTCCGGTCGCTGTCGGCAGGAGGCTTCGGATCCTTGCCTGTGGATCCCTCCCTAGGGCTGCTTGAGCGTCCTCAAGAAGTGGCAGCTGGCTGCCCCCAGAGGGAGTGGTCCTCAAGAGAGCAAAATAGAAGCCACAGTGTCTTTTTTTACCTAGCCATGTACCTATATGACCTATTTAAAATGGGTACATATTACCTATTCAAAATAATTTTTCAAAATAAATAAAAATTACCCACAGTATCACTTAGTCTGATCTATTTCAGAAGTTTCCGAGCATTATCAGCGGAAACTGTCCCTTGAACACAATTTCTCAGGGAATCCCAATACAGCCACCAGCTACCAGGGCAGGTGGCTCCAGTGGGCCCAACAGGGGTCTTCTACACACCTCTCAAAACTTGGTTTACAGATGTCTGGGTTCAACCTTTTATCTGAGCAGGACCTTCCTGACTCTACAAAGCTGGATATAAAAGCTTCTATGAGATTTGAAATGGTAAAAAGACTATTCCCCTTCCCACTCCGCACCCTGGAGTCTTTTTCTCTCAATGTACCTTTATTATGAAAGCATTTTATTTTACAATCTTTTTAGTGAGAAAGTTACCAACCTTCAAAGGAAGGAAGGATGTCATTTGGTTAGAACAGAAATTCTAACCTTTTCTCACTGTGCTCTGTAAACTGTATACCTGAAAGTTTTATGCCCCATGAGCCTAAAGCAAGTGGAAGGCTTGTCCCAGGTGCTCCCCTGTCCTCCACCCCTCATACCCTCTCCCCTTACCTCCTTATGCCCCCCCACCCCCACCCATCCCAGTGAGGACTGGTCTCCAGAAGCAGGTATGATGGAGGGTCAGCCCCGCCTCTCAGCCTCTGGATGCTGTGGTACTTACTATGTTCTGGAAGGCACCTACAATTTGCAGCCAGTCAGGCCTGAGTTTAGATCCCAGACCTACCACCATTCACTAGCTGATTGAAGTTGGTCAAGATACTTAATCTCTCTGAACCTTGGTTTCTGCATCTGGAACTTGGGGGTGGTGCCCTCTGCATTGCTGGGTTGCAGTAAAGATGACATATAAACACCCAACACACAGAAAGACCCAATTAATGGGAACAATCATGAGATAAAAGAGATTTTGTTAAATGTCCCACGGTATCTGCTTACCCACCCCTTGTAACAAGAGTGCCAAAGGATTACTTGGATGCCTGGCCACCCAAGCAGAGGCCACATTTTCCAGCCTCTCCAGTCAAAGTGATCACGTGGCTACTTCTGGTCAATGGAATGTGGGCAGAAATGACTCATCCAACCTCTGAGTCACACTCTGGAAAGGAAGGTGCTTTCCCCTCCCTCCTGACTTTCTGTCCTCCCAGTGGCCTGGAGGTGAAGGGTCCTCGGCCAGCTGCTTTTGAGGCAAGAATGGGAACACCTGTTGAGGTTGGCAAAGCCTCCCTCCCACCTCTGATCACTGACTTCCAAAGAAATAAATGATATTTCTAAGCCAACATGTCTTTGCATTGATCTCTTTGCTGCATCAACTTAGATGAACAGTGGAGTTTAAAGTTATCACAGGGGAAAACTTTTCATTCTTCCCTTCTAAATTCTTTGGCTGGTCTAATAATTAAATTGATATAAAACAGATTAACAGGGAAAAAATTTAATTTTGTACGTACAGATGCCCCATAAAAATATGAGACTCAAAGGCAGCCAGACAGTCGAGGTTCATATGCCATCCTAAGCTAAGTGCTGGGCTAGGGGCTGGGGCTGCATGTGGGAGGAGGGTGATTCACAGGAAGATGAGAAGAGCGGATGGATAAACAGGCTTGCCCTGTCATGCAGGTAAAACTTTCACATAAAAATTTATCTCTGGTTATACCACTCCTTCTGGGCCAGGCTCCTTATCTGAATTCTTTTAGGCAGTTAAGGGAAAGGTAAAAAGCTTTTCTGCGTCTGTTGAGTCCTAATTGCCTTCAGCTCAAAATAATCCACATGCGAAAGTGACACGTTATGGGGTGGCATATTCTGTTCCCCTTCAAAGTATGTGCTCAGGAGCCTTAGAACTCACTTTTTAACACCAGCACAGAGAGCCCCTAGCTTTAGTCTTGCCTTAAGTCTCTGTCCCCTACCACCAAAAAGGCCCTGAAGGGGCTGGGCCTGAAGAACTCCAAAGATGGCTGGACTCCCGCCTCATTCCCCATGCTCTGTAGGGTCCCACTTGAGCCCTGCCACCTCCCTGCTCCACTTCCCATGCCATGGCTTCATGGTGCCCATGGCATGGCCTAGGCGGGACCCTTTGTTAGATGGCACTCAATGGCAATCGAGTCCTAACCTTCTGATGAAGTGCAATCTGCCATATCAGATGACTAAATATGAAGGTATTCTGTCCAATCAGTGAATTTGAGACAGGGCAGGGACAGGGGACAAGCATCAATAATTTTTCTTGCCTATGATGAAAAATGCCAATATAAATGGTATAGTAAGAATAGGAGGCGCTCCATCTTAAGGTTAAGATTCCGTTTTAAAAAACAGGGAGTTAGAAGATAAGATTCCTAACATTTTATGGTAAACAGCCAATAACTGACCCTATCTTAAGGCCGGACAAGCAGTCCTAAATGATATGTACCCACTACTTAAGAGTAACCACTATCTTGGAGAGGAACAGGATCAAGAAATTCCTTGTGTTATGTTTATCTTACAGAATATCTAGAGGACAGATGATGGATAGTGACATAATATCTCTCACTGGAGACAGACATCATGAGACCACATGTCAAGCCTACACACACACACCCTGCCGCTTTGCCCCATTCTTGAAAGCCTTAAAAGAATCCTAAGCCCTTAAGGGTGCCTCCTCTCTGAGGTTCCCACACTCTGCTTTCTTCAAGTGTGTACTGTTTGCCTTAAGTAAAGACTTCTCACTGCCCAATTTACTGCGTTTTATCTCTGTGCTCTTCCAGTGGTGTCTTTGTTACTTCGCTATTTCATTCAATTTTCTGGACTTAAGCAGAAGTCATCTCTCTCTCTTCTTACTCACACAAGTAGGGAGGGGCTACTGCGATGTCTGATTTGGGCTTGCAAGTTCCCATTGCCTGGGTGACCAGGACAGGCCTGCAGCTGTACGACTGTGCTCTTTAGCAGCCCGCCTGAAAATCTCCTTTCTTTGCTTTGGGAAGTTCTCAGAACATAATCTCACTTCATGTGCTCTGCGGCTCCCCCAGATCCTGGGGTGGTTAGGGGCTTAGTTCCCATGCCATGCAGATTCAAGGAGCCACTGGACGCCAGGTCACCCTGTCTTTAGGAGGTGGCAAGGGATTTGTCCTATGCTGAGCCAGAGTTCAGTAAGCTTCCCTTTGAGTCTAGGACCCAAACTGGCGCTCTGAAGTTCAGGACTTGATAAAAGCTAGTGTAGAAAGCGCAGGACAAGCCCAGGCCCAGACAGGGCCCCCTGCCTCCCACAGTAAGCTCAGTCTTGAGGCTCCCACCCTCAGGTCTGCCTGTGGAAAGGCTGACCCCAGTGTGTTGGGGCTGGCAGCTCTGATTCCTCCTCAAGAAACTAGCATCGTTTTTTAATAGCACCTCCAAAGAAAGGACACTCACTGAATGTCTAACCTTTGCTGAGGGAAGGGGAGGGGCTGGCAGTGTTCTGACAGCACTGTCCAGCCAGAGGGTAAGCCGAGTCTGGTTGGACCAAGGCTAAAAACCCAGGCAGGGGAAGAGACAGTTGCTCTGTGGCTCCCCCAAATCCTGGGGGCTGCTGGGGCCCTCTGCCTCTCCCTGGGCATCCCAAGGCTCCCTGGCCTGGGGCTCCTAGAGCTTTTAGCAGGATTCCAGCTCTGGGTTTTCTGGTTGAGAGCTTGCTTTTCAGAATCTTTTTTATATTTTTAAAAATAGTTTTAAACCACCTGGTAAAACTTGTTTTTTTACGTAAGTTAACAACTGGAAAAAATTTCCACCATTGAATTCCCAGTCACTGTGGCTGTCCTAGGTGCCTCTGTCCCATCTTGCCAGGCAAATAAGGAGTTTTTATGCCTTTTGTTTTCCTGAAGATCTTTCTGGCACTTTGGCAGGCCTCTGGTACCCTGTGAGATAATAGAAACAATATACATATTGGTCTCTGCCCCTGGTTCCTCGAATAGGGCTCCAAAAACTCCTAAAAATTCCTGAGTGATATACGGGCACGAGCAGCATCTTTTGTTCCAATATTTGGTCTTTGACCCCATTCCTGACACGAAGCTCCTAAATCCCTTGGAGTTTCCTGGGTGGATAGCAGTGCCTATTGTTCTAATGATGTGACTCTGGGGGCTCCTGGATGGCTCGCTATTGGGGGCTGTTCACCAGAAAGACCAAGCCATGGTTAGGAGCTTGGGGTTTTCAGCCCCATCCTCCAGGGAGGGAAAGGGGCTGGAAATGGGATTAATAACAGATCATGCCTACATGAGGAAGCCTCCATAAATTCCCAATAGTAGGGGGTTTGGAGAGCTTCCAGGGTGGTAAACACATGGAGTTTTGGGGAGCCTGGTGTGCCTACAGAGGACATGGAGCTCCCTCACCACACACCTTGCCCTACATACCTCTTTCATCTGGGTGCTCACAGCTTGTACCCTTTATCATATTTTTCTATAACAAATTTGTAAATGAGGGGGAAACTGTTTTCCTGAGTTGTGCAAGTCACTCCAGAAAATTACTTGAACCCAAGGAGGGGTTTGTGGGAACCCCAGGCTTATACTCAATGGTCAGAAGCACATGTAACAACCTGGACTTAGCAAGTGGTACCTGAAAGGGGCCGGGTACCAGGGTGGACACCACCCTTAACCTGTGTGATCTGATCCTACCTCCAGGTAGATGCTGTCAGAACAAAGTTGTATGACACCCAGCTGGTGTCAAAGAATTGCTTGGCGTGGAGAAAACCCCCACACATTTGGTGAACCAGAAGTGTCAGAGTGAAGTGTTCTGTGTGAGAAGTAAAGGAGACACACAGGAGGGAAAGACTGGGTCTTTCAAATACATGCCCATTGAAGACTGGAACTGAGGGGACCCCAAACCTTCTCCTGCAGCCCCATCAGGTCTCTGGCTCCCAGATCATCCAGAGAGCAGTCCCTGGGAACCCAGGCAGTGCCACCTCTCCGGCCGCTTCCCTCCAGGACGCACCTCTGTTCCTCAGTGCTTTTCAAATGTTCCAGATACAGTGAGCATCCCAGTCCACTGCTTTTTAAATAACCCAGGTGCACAAAAATCTGTTTTATTTGGAGAGTAGGGCATAATGATTCATCCATCGGATAAAAGGGTTTGTCTTTTTAACACCAAAGATACACAAAATGATACAGAAGCTAAGCACAGCTGGCGGTACACCAGCGCTTAACTGCAACTTCCCGGTGTTGGAAGATCTCCAAGAAATAGCGGGTGGAGACCCTTGGCCATGACAGGAAGAGGTGGAGTGCAGGGGTATTGTGACATGCTCTAGGGAGAGGTAGCTTTTCCTACTGCCCAACGGAGGCCCTGGCCTAGAGTGGCAAGAGAGTGGGACGGGACGTGGAGCCTGGGGCCCAGCACTCCAGGGCCCAGTGGGACAGGAAGGCCGAACCGCAGCAGCAGGACCCGGTCCAGTCCATCGAGGGCCACGGCCAGGTGCTGCCGCTTGGAGGGCTCTGGAAGCAAGATGAGTGCAGCCTGGCCCTGCAGAACAGTCTGGAGCCAGATGGGACGGATCAGCCCGCCAGGCCCTCTACCACTGGAGCCACAAGTGATCACGGCACCTCCAGCAACAGGCGGCCTACCAAGCGCTCCGCGGACAGTTCGTCCAACTGCGCCGACTGCCCGGCCGCCAAGTGCAGGCGCTCCGCCCAGAAGCGGCCGCACCACAGACACGAGGCTGCTGGGGTTCCGGCCGGGACCCCCGACTCTGGGCCGGCAGAGAACCAAGCGTCGGGCAACTCGGACCCGTGGCAGCCGGCGGCGGCGTCCGAGAGGAGCGCGCGGCTGCTCCTGGTGCTGTGCCGCGCGTCTGCGCTGTGCTTGCAGCTGCCCCCGCAGCAAGTGTGCGCCCGGGTCGTGGTGCAGCCGCGGAGCATCGAGGAGGCGGAGGCGCGCCGCCGCAAGGAAACCCGCACAGCACCCGCCGTGGAGGTGCACAGGGGCGTGCTCTGCCCCAGCCGCCCTGAGGGCACCCTGGACTTGCAGCGCGCCGCCGGCGGCAGAGCACACGAGGCCCCAGAGCCAGGCTGCGCCTCCCCGGTGGGTCGCGAGACACAGACCGATGGTAAGGGGCCCAAGGGCGGGGGATGGGGACCCCAGGCTGTTGCGGGCGTCCCCAGGTGGGGAACTTCAAATACCGAGGGAGTCTTGCGCCTGACCCTGCTGGTCCGGGCTAGTGGATTCCACAGTCCCCCTCCTAGTGTAAGCAAGCCTCCACTTACACCGTTTTTGGTGAAGATGAATTAGATTTCTCACCCCAGGTGCTCACTGGCCAATCTCGGGTCAAAGTGTTCGAATGACATTAATTTGTAGAGTAACACTTCCCAACTCACAGCGGGCGGAGACCCTTGGCCATGACAGGAAAAGGTGGAGTGCAGGGGTATTGCCCACACTCCAAACCTCGCTTTTGTAAACTACAGATCTGGGAGTTGGGAGGACCCGGCCCGCCCCCTCCTGTCCACATCCACTTATTCCTTGCAGGGTCCTTAGTCTCCTCCTCCAAGCAAGTCACAATCACATCAAAGCATGCCTATTGTGAGCCAGGTGCTGTTCTAAGGGCTTTTCACCTCTCATCCTGGCAACTCTCTAAGGAATGGACTGTATTAGAGTAGCTGGCTTGCTGCAGAATTCTTATTCATAGCCCTTGAGGCCTCTCCTCCCAAGGAATCCAGACCTGTGGCCCCAGAGGGTTAATTCGTGGGTCTAGAGCCTGGGCAGTGGGCTCTACCACAAGCACCCAGTGCCTCTGTCTCCAGATGCCCCTTTCAGGGGTGAGAGAAGGAAGTAGTCTGGGTGAAGTAGTCCAAAGCCGGGCCACTCAAGTCTCTGCCACCATCCTGCTGGTGACCAGAGCAGGCTGTACCCTCTGCAGACTAGTTACCCTCCTGACATATGGGGACTAAAGGCCAACTGATGTCTGAGGTGCCATCCCGCTCTTAAGGATAAACGTTGACACACTTGTTCTGGGTACCCAAGACGCATCCCTAGGTTCAGAACCACCAAGGACCTTCTGGGTGTAGGTCTTAACACCCTGAGGATCTTATCATGATTACCTAACTTGGCATCCCCTTAGAAGCACTCTATTCACTCTCCTAAAAAGTCTACATGGTTTTCCCACAGCTGGCATGCCTGGCTAGGAAGGCCCCTTGCCTGTGGACAGTTCCAACCACAGCCAGAAGACCCCAGCCCATCTATGAAAACAACCCCTTAGTGAGGCAGTCTCCCAGGGGCCTTGTCCCCCATCACCCACACCCAGCCTGCCTTCAGTGGTTTCCTGCACTCTTTGTCCCCCTACTCTCCCCCTCAAGCAGCTTGCACCGCACCCCTTCCCTGGACTTTGGCCCTCTGTGGTCCCCACAGTTCGGGAGTGGGCACTGAGAGAAAAGCCCAGGATAGAAATCACCCTAACACCAGGCAGGGTGTGATCTGGGGCTCATGAGGGGGAATTGCTTCCAGCTGGGGGTCTCAAGAAAGGCTTTACAAGGAGATGGTCCACTGGAGATGAATCTCAAAGATGAGAAGCGTTTTCCCAGAGAGGGAAGGGGGTTGGGGGAAGGGGGAAGTCTTGCACAAATGTAGGAGTGTGAGGCGTATTAACAGATCTCCAGGGTTCATGCTTGGCTAGTGCTCGACACAGGCCACTGCAAGGTCATCAATAAGCGTGGGACAGTGGGCTGTGACTGTGTTACAGAGGAGTCAGTCTTCTAGACTAGGAACTGATATCAAGTCAGAAGGAGAGGCGGCCACAGAAGACCTTAACAAAGAGCATCGCGACACTATTCTTCCTCACCTTCCTGGGCCAACCTTTCACTCCACGGGTGCCCTCTCCCTGCTTCTTGGGACCACCCTTACTAAAGAACCCACACATATATTTTCTGCTGCCATAGAAAAATTCCTCCCCACTCCCAAAGCCTGACCCGCTGTGTGTCCTCCATGTCTCTCCCTGAAAGCAGGGACCTGTTTGCTGTGTGCCGTTTGGCTCCTTGGTGTGAAATGGAATATTCCTTTCATTGCTACCGGGAAATCCTGGCCATGCCTGTTTGCCCCTGTCTAATTCATTTTAACCAGTGGCTCTCAACCAGGGACAGTTTTCACTCATACACACACACACACACACACACACACACACACACACACACACACACACAGAGGAATTTAGCAATGTCTATAGACAATTTTGGTTGTCACAATTTAGGGGAGGGGGNACACACACACACACACACACACACACACACAGAGGAATTTAGCAATGTCTATAGACAATTTTGGTTGTCACAATTTAGGGGAGGGGGAGCAGTAGTTGCTACTGGCTCTGAGCTTCCCACAGTGCACAGGACAGCCCCACAGCAAAGAACTATCTGGTCCAAAATGGCAGTAGGGATGAGGTTGAGAAATGCTTTTTTAAACCAGGCTGAGACCCTCAATCAAAAGCCCACTGGTACCTGAAAATCTAATTTTACAAAGATAAATGCCTTAGGAGTTCCTGACCTGACTGCTAAATCTGGACAGAGTTCTTGACTGGGGTTTCCAGTCAGATCAAATTCCCCTGAGGGATCCACCCTCTTGTGGAATCACCTATTCTCCAAATCTCCTTGTGCCAAGGGCCAACCAATTCAACCCAACTCTACCGATCTGAGTCTCCTTTTGTTACTAATCCTTTGCGCAGTTTTCTTCAATCATCTCACTCAAGGGACTTTTTAAAAAATTCATTAATTTTAAAGCCTATATAATTAGCTCACTCACTATTGCTTTCTGGAGTCATGAAAAGAAAGAACTCTGAAATGGGAATTTAGCCCTCCAACCACTTGCATGACATTGAAAAGGTGATTTTGCTTCTTGTAACTTCATATCTTAAGGTCTTTTCAGGTTCTAGATTCCCTAAAACATTTCCTGTCATTTCACAGTTCACATCGCGTCTGGCCTTGTGTGGGAGTTCCTTCTAGCTTGGCCTTCCCTAACCCTTCCCCTGGTGCGCATGGGTGAACAGTTGAATCCTCACCCACCTAAGCAATACATTAATCGTAAAGGTTGATTCTAGTGTGAACACAGTCTATGTTGCAGTCAAAGTGTGAAAGTTTAAGGTTGTCTATTTTAAATGTTTTTTCTGCTTCTGTCCTAAAGGAAAATCACATTGTTAACTCTGAGAAAGATTCATCGTCCCCTAACTGATGAGTCCGCATGAGTCTGGGGTTTGAGAAGTAGTCTGTAGATGTCGGCATAACAAGTTCAAGAAAAATACAGTTTTCCGAACAGCTGTTGTGTTTTCAGAGGAAGTCTTTCACCAAATGCAAGGGTTCTTATTAAAGTTGGAGGTCGCCTAGCTCCTTCCCACAGTGGGGGAGGGCAGGCTTTGGAAGAAAGGAGAAGCTACTGTGTTTGTGGAATAATCTGGGTAGGGGAAAACACTGAGATGGTAGAAGGCTGGGGGCCTTCCATGGGCCCCAAATCTTCAGTAAAGTTACCTAAAACCCACCGAATGCGTGACAAAGCAGTTTTGTTTCTCTGTTTTGGTACGTGGAAACCAGTGACAGAGCTGAGCACCCCAACCGAGGTGTCTTAGAGCAAAACAGCACACAGGAGCCCAGGGACACACCAGCAGAGAGGTGCCTGGAGGAGGCACACTGTGGGGGTCCGGGTTGTCACAGGCCCTGCAGCTAACCACTTCTGGCAGGGGCCCAGCAGCTGCTCTGTGCACCACCAGCAGCCAGGGAGCTGGGAGGAGTCAGGCTGGTGTTGGCAGCCTGCCCCCAAGAACTGTCCCCAGAACCCTGCCATAGGAGCCACTGACCTTTGTGGCCTTTGTGACCTCACAGGAGGGGTGTGGGGGAGTGTTCTCTGGGCAGCCTAGGTTCGAGGGGCAGCCAGAGCCTTCCCCCAGGGCAGGGGCGAACGGCCCCTCTGGGAAGGGAGCCGAGAGGTTAGACAGCCCCATGTAGGCACAGTTAGTCTGGGAGGACCCGCCATGCAGAACGGCAAGAGGGAGAAGCCAGAGGCCAGATGCCATGGCTCCACTTCACAGAGTACCAGCTCCGAATCCACCCCACAGCAGCAGACCTCTGAGACCTCCCCACAGCCCAGCATTGCTGAACCCAGACTGCAAAAGCCAGCCTCCAGATCCACCACCCAGCAGCCAGCCTCCAGGTCCACCCTGCAGCAGCCAGCCTCTGGGTCCACCCCGCAGCAGCCAGCCTCCAGGTCCACTCTGCAGCAGCCAGTCTCTGGGTCCACCCTGCAGCAGCCAGCCTCTGGGTCCACCCTGCAGCAGCCAGCCTCCAGGTCCACTCTGCAGCAGCCAGCCTCCAGGTCCACTCTGCAGCAGCCAGCCTCTGGGTCTACCCTGCAGCAGCCAGCCTTCAGGTCCACTCTGCAGCAGCCAGCCTCCAGGTCCACTCTGCAGCAGCCAGTCTCTGGGTCCACCCTGCAGCAGCCAGCCTCTGGGTCCACTCTGCAGCAGCCAGCCTCCAGGTCCACTCTGCAGCAGCCAGCCTCTGGGTCTACCCTGCAGCAGCCAGCCTTCAGGTCCACTCTGCAGCAGCCAGCCTCTGGGTCCACCCTGCAGCAGCCAGCCTCCAGGTCCACTCTGCAGCAGCCAGCCTCTGGGTCCACCCTGCAGCAGCCAACCTCCGGGTCCACCCTGCAGCAGCCAGCCTCCGGGTCCACCATACAGCAGTCCTCTCCCAGGTCCACCCCGAAGACCAGCTCTGAATCTGCTGCTCAGCCCATTCCTGAGTCCATCCCAAAGCAACCTGTGTTCCGGGCTCCCCCAACGACCAAAGTCAGCTGCTCAGCTCAGGGTCTCTCATCTCAGGACACTACCATGAAAGCCACCCCTCATTCCAAGAAAACAGGTGGGCAGGCTTCTAGCTCAAGCAGTTCCAGCCTTCCTGCTAATGGAGTCCCACGGTCACCCTAGAGGCTGGTTCTTATCTGGTAGTGATGTGCTTGTGGACTTTGCTGGTTCTAGGTTTTGTTCAAGAGGCCATGATTCCTGGGTTTTGTCATTCCTCACCATCCTGAGTCTCAGCAAAGACAAACATATATACATATTATTAGCATTTAACTTGGCTTGGTGGTAATTAGCTTTTTAGGAGTCAGAAGTGCCATTTGGCTGCTTGGCACAAAGTAAAAACCAGGGATGCATTAATAGAAGAATACGGTTTAGGACAAGAGAGATGGTCATACTGCTTTACTCTCCTCCCATCAGGCTATTCTTGTGTGCTGTAAAAGATGTCCAACAATCTAGCCCAAAGAAGACAGTCCAGGTTGATGGAGGATGAGAGAAGTGGGTGGAGGGAAGAACCATTTGATGTATAAGATTTGGTTGAAGGAATTGAAGGAAATCTGTTAGGTAGACGATGCACACTGACTTTTCCACACTGTCCTCCGATATCTGACTATAGGTACATAGATAGTGTTGGCAGATCAAATACAGGACACCCAGTCAAATTTGAACTTCAGATGAGCAACAAGTAATTTTTTAGTATAAGTGTGTTCTGAAGATTACATGGGCATCCTGTGTTTTTATTTACTAAATATGGCAACCTTACCTGTGGAAGGCACTATAGGCAGGCTGATTTCTGCTCAACATTTAAAATTTTCCAATAATTAGCTCTGTCTGAAAATGGAATAGCTATCCAGGAAAAGTGGTTTCACATCTTCCTGGATGGCCGGAGTCTAAATGGGCATTGGATCGTGTAGAAGAAGTTCAAGTGTAGTTCAGGAGTGTGCTGGTTAATACTACCACTACTGATAATGGTATTAATAGCTAACATTTATCACTGAGCATGGACTGTGTATCCAGCATTCAGCTCAGCTGTCTATGTTAATCTTCTCATTTAACAGTCCTATAAAGGAGGTACTGCTATCATCATCTCCATTTTTTACATGGGGAAACAGAGGCTCAAAGAAATCAAACAACTTGCTCTCACGCAGCCACTGGTAGCACTAGAGGGGGAACTTCAGTCTTTTTTGACTCCAGAACCCTTGCTCATAACTGCAGTCTAATCTTCTTATCCCCAGAGGTCCAGGTCTCTCCAGAGGAAGAAGCTTCTCCTGGATCCACCATGAGTCAGGGCCAGTCCTTCTGTGGTCCTGAGCAGGCCACATTCTCTGGGCCACAGAGGATCCTTCTGGGATGGTGTGGACATAAAATTAATGTGAGGTGTGAGAGAGCTAGACCCAAGGGATCACTGGGACAACAGTGTTTCCGTGGCTAAGAATCAATTCATTTGTAACCTATAGGAATGGTTCTGAGCATTATGATGATTGTCAGCCACTGACGAACAGTTTGGATTATGGCCTTCAGAACTTATATCTGGAGAAAGCAAAACTTTCCATTCCCAAATCTTTTCATGAATGCATGTGCCTGTCCCCCAGGGAAGAGTCTTGCTTACCCAGGAGGCAAAGCAGGAAACAGTGGTATGTTGTCAATGGTTGTGGTGTGCATTCTACTCTTCTTCTACAAGAGGGGTTTTCTCCCTTTGAGCCAGAGTAGGAAGAAATGTTGGAGATGATGGGTGAGGACCTTTGAAGAAAGGATGCCATTTTCTAAAACCCAAATCTTTTTTTGTAGGCAGAAAATATTGTAGCTCAGGAAAATACAAGTCTCTCACTAGAATGGCTACAGTCAAAAGGTGGACAATAACAAGTGTTGGTGAGACTGTAGGGAAATTGGAACCTTCATACACTGCTGGAGGGAATAGAAAATGGTGCAGCCGCCATGGAAAAGTCTGGCAGCTCCTCAAAGGGTTATACAACTTACCGTATGAGTCAGCAGTTCCACTCCTGGGTACATACCCAAGAGAATTAAAAACAACCACACAAGACATGGTGCACAAATGTTCAAAGCAGCATTATTTATAACAGCCAAAAAGTGGAAACAACTCAGTATCAGTTGATGAATGGAAGAACAGTAAGTCGTATCTCTACACAGTGACATACTATTTGGCAATAAGGAGATGATGTACCAATACCCACTACCATACGGACGGCCCTCAAAAACATTAGGCTAAGTGAAAGAAGCTAGTCCCCAAAAGCCCACATATTGTATGGTTCCATTTATTAAGTGTCTTATTACCAGGAATTGGCAGAAGTGGGGAATAGGCAGTGAGTGCTAATGGTTAGAGTTTCTTTGAAGGGAGTTGAAAATGTTCTGGAATTAATACAAGTTGTATACCTTTGTTTATACTAGAAACCACTGAACACTCTAAAGGGCTTAATTTTATGATATGGGAACTATATGTCCATTTTTAAGTTTTTTTTAAAACTAAAAAACGAAAGAAGATAAGACTTGCCTTTAGACTCCCTTCCCACCCAGTCCCAGTGAAAGCATCTGTCCTGGGCAGCCCTAAGCAGGAGCGTGCTGAATCGGCCAGGCTGATGGAGTTTTCACTGGAAGAATCTGCCGCTCTGTCAGGAAGCTAGGACCACACTAGCCACCTGAGGGAATCCGGCCAGAAGTCGTCTTGTGTAACAAAATAGGGTGCCAGCTCTGAGCTCCGCTGGGATCTGTAGAGGTGGGCAGAAAAGGAGGTCAGTTTGGGAAAGTGATTCAAGGACTGTAAATTGGAGGCGCAACAGTCTTCTGGGTGGATCCATAACCCCCAGGAATATGGCATGTGGCAGCTGCAGCTGCAGGAATCTCAGTGCCACCTCTCATGGAGGGGACAGTCACCTGCTACCTTCATTTCCTGGAAATTCTGTGAAAAGAACATGGAATTGAAGGGTTAGAAAATCTAGGTTGAAGCCACTCCTTGAATTGACTTGCTATAAGGGCACATCCCTTTTCTTCTTTGAGCCTCAGTCTCCTTATCTGCAGAGTGGGTATTGATGTGAAGCATGGAGCCCCCGAAAGATGTACCATATTGCATCACTATCATTTGTGCTGTCCCCAGATGGTACCTCTCTATAAACACCCAGGTTCCCACGCAGCTCAGCTTCCCCCCTGTGTCTCCCAGACTCTCCCCAGCCTCCTGGAGGCAGGTGGGTCCCTCACCTCTCCCCTTTTCTGTCTCCCCAGGGTCTCTAACTCGCGCAGGCCTGCACATCTGCTCCTGTTCCACTTGGCCCAGCAGCTTTACTTGCTGGCATTGCCTGGGTCTGTGCCACACCCGCATCTTCGATGTCCTCCTTCCTCGGGCCTGGCCGGCCATGCCGGGGAGAGGACCCCCAAACCTCCTCACCTTCTACAGGTTCTGGACGCGTGGGGGGCTGGAGCCTCAGGGCTTACGGTTCACAGGGCCAGGCTTTGCCCAGGACCATGTTAGCAGTGATGTGCAACCTCCTCTTGGGACCTCTAGGCCCAAGAAAGCATCTTCCTCTGGGTGACCACTTCCTCAAGTTCGGCACCCGGCCCTCTCTGACCAGGTCCACCCCTCCAGGGTCCCTCACCTGCACAGAAAGTTGCCGGCTCTCTTCCTGACCAGGAATGGCTGCTTTGGGAGTTCATTTTTCCTTTCTCCATGGACAGCCTCCTTCCTCAGAGTGCACTGCCTCTCAGCCCTTCCTAAATCCCCTGTCACTCGGAAGCTTTGTGATTAAACTCTCTGACCATTGGCCTCCTTCCGTGGCTCACACCATAGCTGAGAGTGTCAGGTTTTGGCCTGCATATAAAGTTTCCCCAGAGTTTAGTGATAAATGCTGATTGTAAGCCACATGCCCCCCTGGTAACAGCAAGACCTCCACCCCCTTCAGAGGGTCTCAGGCTCTTTCTGGCAGTCCCTATAGGGGACATGCCCTATGGCTCATCCACAGTATCTGCCCTTCTTTTCCTCTTCCGTGAAGCCACCAGGCCTCTTCTCCTCTTGGGAAGACTCCTGTCCAGGGAACCGGACTTAAGGTGTTACTGTGCTTTTCCAGGGAAGCAGGGCTATGTGCAAGGTCAGGGAGAGGGGCCTCCACCCACCCCCAGCTCTGAGCCCCAGAGCAGCTCCGCCAGCACTCGGTCTCACGAATGTCCACAGAAAAGGCCTTCCACCTGGGGATTTCATACCCCTAACCCAGGAGCAGAGCCCTCCCGGCCTCCATCCTTGTCCTGCTCCTCCTCCCGGCCCTTCCCTTACCAAATCCCCTCTCCTGTCCATCATTGTAAAGGACTGCTTCTCAGACATATAGAGAGAAGCAGATACCCAGGTGTGCTGGGAGAACTAAAAATACTCTACAACCTGGTAAGTCCCATAGAGGAAGGGCCTGCCCGCCATGCACCACTATTGACTTTCCTCCCATGGCTCTTGCAAGCTGCCCTGAACACTCTTGGACAATACTAGGCCCATCATTGGGATTGTCAAAACCAAGTTCCCCAAACCTACAGACCAGGGATGTTTGATTACTCACAGATACCAAACAGAAAGAAATGGGGGCGGTGGGGGCAGAAGTTCCTACCCATCTCAGGGCTCTCCTTGTAACCACCCATCTGGTACAAAGCTGTGCCATGGACTCATACCACTTTAAAACCAACAAGTAGGAACACCTAGTCTGCATAGGAACCTTGGCACTCTGCAGGAAACCAGAACAGGGAACTTTACCCTTAAAAACTGTTCAGTCCTAATGGTAAGCTAAGGCACGTGCAATTAGAAACAAAGGTACAAGCCAGAAAGTGATGTGTCCCCTGGGAGATGTTCAGAGAGCTTCAGAAAGACCAAGTACTCACTCCTGAATCAGGATCCAGGCAGACTGTAGTGTCCGTGGCATCTGAGCTGATTCTCAAAGGATCTTGGGAACTTCAGTGTCTTACAATGAAAAGAGGAAGTAAGGGGAAAGGGACCAGTCTAGCCAGAGTAAGGCACGTAGTCTCAATTCTGTTCAAAATTTAGCACCTGCTCCCATAATCTTTACATTTCTCAGTGGAGTGGCATGTTGACTGCTGGCTCTAAATACACATTCACATAAAGTAAGAATCCCTAATTTAGCAGGATTATTGTCAAAGTAGATGTTGCATTCTGTGAAAGCCTTCCTCGTGATTATTAGCCTCACAGTGTATTTTCCTTGCCCTTGTGGTGGGTGTGATATCCCTGATTCCTCATTTCCACGTTGGAGCTACATGATAGAATCTACTCCACAGGGTTGCTGTGAGGCTTGAAGATAACACGAGCTATGAGGTGTTTGGTGCAGGGCCTGGCACACAGCAGCCTTGACCACCTCCCTAACCTGGTCCCGAGTGTCCAGGGGGCTGGCGTCCCATCCTCAGATCCTGGGTGATCTTGTAGTAGGGATTTATTTATTGGAAGGGCTGGGGGGAGTTGTATTCCCTTGAGAGGAGGATTGGCGGGGAGGAGATGGGTATTCCTGCAGTCCTCTGGGGACCCCACAATTTCCATATTCCCCTGCCCATATACAGGCATGGAAGCCCAACTTCCCCCAACCTGTGGGATTTCTGCTTTGCTTTACAGAAAACCTACAAGAAAACACTCCAGTCATCACAATTCTCATGCTCCAAGCCCTGGGGACTGTTGCTGTGGCTCTAGGGGCCCTGGGAGCTGCCTACTTCACCACTGAATCCGTGTGAACAAACCCCCATGTCCATTGTCTGGAAGGTATGTAGACCCCTTTGTGCTCACTGCCCCTTGCAGAAGTGGTCCTCAAACCCACCGGCCCGCCACCCTTCAGCACGGGGCTGAAGGAGTGTCTGTGTCGAGCGCAGGCTGTGGGAGGTCTTTACGAGTGGACCAAGCCGATTCAGAGAAAGCTTCAGAATCGAGTGACTTCTTCCTGTGCTCAGGGTCATCAGCACGGCTCTTGCAAGCTGCCCTGAACACTCTTGGACAATACTAGACCCATCATTGGGACTGTCAAAACCAAGTTCCCCAAACCTACAGACCTTAGCAGTTGAGTGCCTCAGTTTCCTCATCTGTAAATAGGGAAAATCACAGTACCTTCCCCCCGAGGTGGTTGGGAGCATGAGATAAGGTGCTTGGAGGGCAGACTGTCCAACTGGAGGGTCTTGGTACTGTCATGGTGGGGCTGGTTGGAAAAACACTGGGTTGAGAACAACACAGCTGTTGGTGCCAGTCTTGGCTATGCCACCTCGTAGCTGGGTGTTAGGGGACTTGTCACTTAATTTCTGTCAGAATCAGTGTCCCCCTCTGAAGCGGGGAGAATAATAACTTCAAGGGTGATGGTTGTGAGGATTAAATGAGGGGTATGCAGATGAGCAGGGCCTGGTCACAGGGGCTGGGCAGATGGTGGTGACTAGGAGTGTCAGGAATGCCCCTAAGCAAAAGCATGTGCCCTACAGTCTTCTTACAGCAGAGCCCACGGGTATGAGCTTGGCTTCCACAGGTAAGCGGGCTTGGAGCCAGGTGCCCCTTGAACACCCAGTATCTCTGGGGCCTGGGGCAAGTTCCTTAACTCCTGACTCCAAGTGGAGGTAATAATAGTACAGCTCTCCTTGGGTTGTTGGTGAAAAATAGGCATGTAAAACACTTAGCACAGGGCCTGGCACAGAACAGGCATTCTAAGTCACAGCATAGAGCAGCTACATCATTATGCATCATCATTACGCTTAATTCAGAATTCTCCAACCTGTACTGACATGGGACACTTGTGATATCCCTTATTTTTCTTTAAGTTAGCTTACTTTTTAACTTAAATGCATTTATTTTAAATGGAAATTTAAGTCTGGCCACACATGGACAATCCAATCACTTGCCATAGAAAGACTCACAGTAAATATAAACACAAAATGTCTCGGCATTCTAGCTGGTAGGGATGCTTGAAATAGTCTTGGCTTTGAAGGCCATGCCCTGGATGTTCAAAGGAGATCTGGCAAATGTTGGATGTTCAGGCAGGCCAGCATCACGTGAGACACTCTCTTCCACGTCACAGCTGGAAGACACCAGGAATGGGCAGTGATTCCAGGTCATTTAATGTGTTGTCCAGTGCCGCCTGAAGCATTTCAGTGTCCACCAGGTGTGCATGTCCCACCCATACCTTTGCTCACACAGCCCTGAGCCCTGGTGAGTGGGGATAAGATTGGGACGGGGATGGGGAGGGAAAAAATGGAGGCGTGGGGCGGTAAGGACGGAAGTGGAATGGAAACCCACCCTTGGCCTGGACTAGGTCCCTCCCCTGAGAGTCTGAATGGCTGGCAAAACCAACAAGCCTCCCCGGAGACTGAACCTGCTTGTGCGCTGGGAGTGGGCCACTCAAGTGGCCAGTGGGGTTTGATCTGGGGTCTTGGCATTGCTGACGTCACTGACAAGCACATCCAGTGGGCAGACTTTACACAGCCCGGCCTCTTTCTTCTGCTCTGAGGGGCAACTCCTATGTCTCCTTGGGGTAGGCCCTTCCCCCAGATGCAGGTTGAGGGTAAAGTTCTCTCAGGACCAGACGAAACCACCCATGGACAGAACTTTGTCCTAAAAGGTTGGTCCTCTCAGGAACAGACTTCCTTTCTCCACATCAAGCTGTCCCATGGCCACTCTAATTTCTCTGGAGGGAGAGGGAGACGGTGCCACTCACTCCACCCCCTGTAGTGGCCTGAGGCAGGGTCCTCCCCAGGCCCCAGGGCCCTTGCCCAGAGATCCTGATGAGGTGGCCTTTCCCCACATGACCCACTGCCTTTGCCAAGCTGCTGTTCCAGAGACTGCTTGGAGTCAATGCTTGTTATTATCGGGGTGCTTGCGATGTGTTTCAGCTGACGTCAGCAGGCCCCAGCTTCTTCCAGACTTGCCTCTGCCAGAGCCTAGGCTGCTGCGTCATCTCCCACATTGCTCAGTGGTCACTGTGAGTCTGTGGGTCTGAGTAAGGCACCTCCAGCTGGGGTCCGGGGAGGCCTTTCTGGAAGCCTCCAAGTTGTAGTCACACTTCCTGGACACTAGCCAACCGTAGTATCTCCCACTCCAACTCCCGAATGGCCCCCACACAAACCTCTGGTAACTACGTAAATGGGCAAGTGGGTCAGCACAGCTGTCACATGTCAGCACTGACCATGTGCCCAGCACCGCACCAGGCCCTGTGAGACATGATGACACAGTGGGGTGTGGACAAACCAGTCCACTGACAAGCCAGGTTTATGGCCTCACTGCCTCTTGACTGGATGTGCCAATCCAGGTACTACGGAGCCCCTTCCCAGGCATCCTGGGATTTCAGCCATTGCTCTCACTGCCTACCCTTTCCGGTGCAAAAAGTTTTTACTGCTTCATGAGAAAAATTCCTTAGCTTGACAGTTGAATGAAATTTGCCTGTCTCCCATGGTTAAGGTGCTTGGTACACGGGGAAGTGTTCCTCTCTGATGTGTTTCTTTTTAATTTGATTATAAAATGCAAGTGTGAATTGGTAGGTTTCCAAATGCCATGAGGCATCATAAGACTTGACTTGATGAGTGGAGTATGAGTTAGATTACTTGATCCTACAAATTTCAGAAAACCTCATTCAAAATGGTAATAAGGAAATTATCCCACATAACAGAACAGTTGGGAAGTGTCAGGGCTGGTGAATTCAGCAGTGCCATCAGAGATCTAGGGACTTTTCTAGCCTTCAAATCCGGCACCCTCAGCAGAGGAGGGGGCTAGTTCCTCTTGTGAGCAGAAGAATGGAGGAGCTCCCAGAATGGCATCCTCAGACCCCGATGGCTAGAAGCAGGGGAAAGGCCACCTTCTCCTGGTGTCTCTTTTTGAGTCAAGCAACTTTTCCCAGAAGTCCCCTCCCCTAGCACACTGGCCCTATCATGGGGGTGACATGCCTCTGAATTAAGTCTCATTTCCCTTCTCCAACAAATTAACGGCATAAATGATCATGACTGGGTTAGACCAATCTAGATCTACCCCTATGTTCTACCCCAGGCCTGGGGCTGCAGTTACTTCCCTTTACTGGGCAAAGGAGTGGGTGTACCCAGACCACAGGAAGAAGGGAAAGTGAACTGGGGGGAGCAGCCAGCAACAGCCAGGAGCACCCACCTGAGCGTTCTTCAAAGGTGATACACAAGATGAATTCCAGTGCACAGACCTGTTGGCTTGGAGAAGTGCGTTGGCCACTGAAGGCCACCAGGGTGTGCAGGATGCGGGTGCATTGTGGGGGCACGTTGAGTCACCCTGAGTTTCATAGGCTCAAGAAGTAGACCCTACAGAAGGGAAATGGACAGTTTGGTGTCCTCAGTCCAGGGGGTGAAGAACCATACGGGACCAGTGGCAAAGCCTCCTCTCTGGGAAAAAACATTTCTAGAGTTTTCTTTCCTAAAGCTTGGGGAGCCTTTCTCTCTGCATCCCACCTGTGAACAATGAGACACCAAAAGTAAGGGGCTGCTTTCCCTGTCCTTTGGGGCACAAATGTAGTAAAATTACCACCACAGCCTAGCCTTCGGGGAGCCAGGCCCCACCTCCGCAGCCGGGGCTGTGGGCAAAAGGAGGAGAAGGGATATGCCGGCGCTGACGGAGCCACGCAGCCACCGGGCCCTTCGCGTGAGCACATTACAGCCCAAAGAGGAAAAGTCTTCGTGTGGCTGTATTTGGAGGAAAGGATGAGTGGACGGAAGAAAGGAAGATATTTGAATCCTAAACTATTTTTCCACAGGAGGACTTAGCTGCTGAACCCTCACTCACGAGGTAAAACTGGAAAGCCACTGGAGTCCTGGGGTCATGGAGCGATGATGGCCTGTCCAAGCTGATGGCCTGTCCTTTTCCTTACAAATCCAGTTCCACCAAGGATCTCTGTTGTCACCAAAATAGAACCCCCCAAAAAAGAAATCTGTTCCTTTAGTGTGTTTTATCCAAGATGCAAAGGTTGGTCTTGGAAGTGGGTTGGGAGTTGTGTCGGGGGGGCCTTGGTGATCCTGTGAGCTCCAGGTAAACCAAGGGGAGTCCTGCCATCCTGCCATCCCTAATGAGAACCACAGACCCAGGAGGGTCAACCTTCTCTGCACAAACCCACAGAACAAACTGTTACAGATTTTCCCACTCTAAAAGCAGGAATCACCCAACCTGACATAACTTGTCAACTGCACTTCCGCCCAGTGGTAATCCCAGTCAGTGGGAACAGGGAGAAGGTGCTGGCTCCTTTCCAGGCCTTGGGGAACCGAGGCCCTGTGCCCAGGGAACCCCGTCTCTGGAAAATGGCCTCATTTCGCTTCACCTGTGATAGGGGAGGCCGGGGCAGACCAAAGCATGACTTGCAGCCTTGTGATCCAGCCTGATGTACCCAGCTAAGTGGTGGGTTTTCACATCTGGCTCCTGAGCAGTGGAGACAGAGGTCTTAGTTTAAGGCAATCCCAGGAAACACCAGTAGGGGGCGGGGTGGGAAATGGAAGGGGGCGCAGTCAGGAGAGTGCAGTGGTCACCGAGGGCAACCCTGGGAAAGAGCGCCCACCTCAGAGCGATCCCAGCCCCGGGGAAGACCCGTCCTGTCAGTCACCAGCTAAGAGCTGCCGGGAAGGTGGTTCCTTCCCCTGCAGAGGAAGCCCCCATCAAAGAAATGCACAGGGCTGCGGTTGGGAGTCCAGCATGCCCTGAGCAGCATAACCGGGGCATACAGGGAGCGGATAACGGGTGAGGACAGCCCGGAATTTAAGTAAGGAGTACACAGAGCCAC